TATTGAAGGTCTGATGTTGCTGTGAGGATGCTGAGCTCCGAATTACAGCATTTCCAGTTTAAAGTCAGACCAAATGGTGTTGAGCTACAGGGGGGACTCTTCAAAACCTGCTGTCATAGAAAATGTTAGTTTTTTGTGAAAAAAATGCCAGCTAAATGTTATAACTGAGTGAAATATTTGATAGGTTCTTCTGGGTTTTTTTTCTTATCTACCTTCAAGATGTGTCTAATGAGTATTTCCTCAAACTGTATTAATATTTCACCCTTCTTATCTGTTATCTGATACAACTGAGCTGCCTTGCAACTGAATTGGTTATAAACAGCCAGACCTGCAATTCATCTGCCTCCTGCCCAAAGGCAGCCGATGATAACAGTGTGAAGGGAAAAGAACTTAATGTTCAGATTTAATCAGATCAGCAAAATAAGAGGAGCTGGCATAGGCACGTGGGATTGGCTGGATTCCTTGCAACTGCTTGTTGTTATTTCAACTGCCAGTGCAGACAATACGTATCCAAAATACCTCCTTGCTTTCCATGTTGTGATTGGATCTTATTCGTGCCTTAAATTCTGATTTTAACTAGGCAAACAGTGATGTGATGGGCAAAAGCACTACCTGATAACCTAACGAAGTCCTTTAGAAGAAAACACTGTAGTAAATTTGAGGAAGGAGATAATCTGGGAAGCAAGCACATGTTCTGAGTCGATACCAGGGTATATCCTTGGGAAGAGCTGTGCTTGCAGGCAAATGGAGCTGTACGGGAAATAAAACAAAAAAATCAACAAAACTTCCCCCCAGAAAAAACCCAAAATGGAAGAAGGTGAAAAAGAAAACGGTCAACATGGAAGATCGGGCAAAGTGTAGAAATGGAGAGCGTGCTTGGGGATGCTTGCAGGAAAAGAGCCACTTTACAGTGAGAGGACCTTGAAAATAATACTTGATGCTGCCCCAGGAAAATACCAAGTGCTGCAGCCTTCAGATCTGGAGAATGGGATCAACAGTGAGAAAGGGGCTAATTCAGAATTGCTACGGTGGTAAGCTCCAGTACCCAAGGATTTGGGCATCAGGGAGAAAACCATCCCCCAAAAAGATAGCTGAAGTACTGGGGGATTTAAGAGTTGTTGTATTTGGTTTCCTGTAGCCAGATGGTGGCTGTGCACCAGCACTTGGCTTCCAGTGCCCTCCTGTGCAGGCTGTTGCATTATCTGGTCTAAACCATGGTGGGTCTGTGCGTGCAGGGCTTGAGAGCACTTGGAAGGATTTTATTTGTGGCTGCAAGTGTGGAAGGAATTTGAAATGAGTAATAATGCTGGAGAGGGAGTTTGTCAGGAATTCTGGGGATAAGCTCTTTGCTCTTGAAAGCTTCACTGAATAAACAGGACAGGCCAACTCCCAGAAGTGTTTGCTTTGTGCTCTTGTTTCAGTATTGAAGGTAGATGTGGCTCTGCCTATTATTATAATTGATTTTATTTATTTACTTTAATAATTTCAGTCAGTCCTGAGCTTTCCTAAGGCTTTCTGGTTTTGTTCTGAGAGCTTGAGAATAACAACAGATTTTATGTTCCTGTTTGAAAGAGGGAATAAGGGTTGAGCCTGCAACGTTCTCTTGCCTCAATGTTAACAGGCAGCTTTACTCAAAATCCCGAGATAAAAGTTACAAATAAAGAGAAAAATCTCATTCTCTTTTAAAGTTGCTTTTTTTAATCAGACAGGGGTGGAAGCACGTCTCTAGTGCTCCGTTTGGAGAGGACGTGGTACTGCAGGTTTCAGTGGTGCACGTCTGGGATGTGTAATAGCACTACAGCAAAAAGTGCACGGGGGGAGCCTGTGCTTCAGAGAGCTGCTGTGTAATTCATGCCATGATCAAAATCAGTGCTGTAGTCATGGGCAGCTCAAATAAAGAGACCCGGGAGTTCAAACCAAATGGTCTCTATAGCCACTTTCACTTGGAGCTGACATCGTAAAGCAAAGCAATCTTTGAATTTCTGGAACATTACACTCACTTCATGACTTTTAAATTTCTTAAAGGCTTGCCCAACTCCCTTAAACTTGGAATACCAGTATTTGAATTGCCATGGGGCTGTGTGCTTGTCCCCCCCTGCCACAGCTTTTTCATTGAATCAGACTTTGTGGACCATCATCTTACACATCTTTATAAAGCTCCAGGTCTGGCACTGTCAAAGGAAGATCGTAGCTCACTCGCTAAGAGGAGACTAAAATTCCAGCTCAGAAACGTAAATCACTCTCTCTGAAGTTGTGAGAAATGGTGGAAAAATGTATGGAAGAGTTTCCATAACAAATGGACAACAAAGCTTTAAACTTCAGCGTCAGCTGGCTCTTATAGATGCACTTTTTAAACAGCAGAAAGGCTTGGACCTCATGCAAAAGTGTAATTCTGAGAATGAAGAAATCCCCACCCACCACGAGTCTTCAATTTCACACCGTCTGAAGCTGACTAATAAGAATTCCTCTTCCTCTTAGCATCTGCATCCGTTGATGATGACTGCTCATGTAACAGTCAAAAAATAGTAAAAAAAAACCGCTTTTCTTGGTTATTTAAATCGGGGGGGGAAAGGCAGGCTGCAGAGCTGCGGGTACATGGGACACCGCTGCGGTGGCTGGTTTGAGAAACCCGTTCTAGGCCCTGTTTGCTGCCTTGCAGCCAGCGTGTTTCCCCGCTTTGAGGGAAGATGAATGAAGCATAAAATAATCCAGAATTAGGGTGACTGACGCGAGGATTTGATGGTACACCCCTAAGGTTGTTTATGGCATGGGCAGATGCAAAGCTGCAGTTCTCTGGGGTAGGTGATTTGCATTCATATTGGCTGTGTTTCCTGCTTTGGACTCTAGATCTGTCCAAAATGCTTCAGTGTTAGCATCTAAATAGACATCCACGTGTATGCTTATCACAACTTCATGCTGTTCCTCTGCAAGCTTTATTCTTGAGCTCGAGTCAGCTGTGATCACCATAGCTGTGACTTGTATCCTAACTGGCCAACTCTCCTTTATTTTATGTTTTTTAGGATTACCTTCCCTCGCAGCAAGACATACTGCTGGCACGAAGGCCTACGAAAGGGATTCACGAGTACGACTTTGAAATCAAAAATGTTCCTTTCAAAATGGTTGATGTAGGTGGGCAGAGGTCGGAACGGAAACGTTGGTTCGAGTGCTTCGACAGCGTCACGTCGATACTTTTCCTTGTTTCCTCAAGTGAGTTTGACCAAGTGCTTATGGAGGATCGGGAAACGAATCGCCTTACGGAGTCGCTGAACATTTTTGAAACGATAGTCAATAACCGGGTTTTCAGCAACGTCTCCATCATCCTCTTCTTAAACAAGACGGACTTGCTTGAGGAAAAAGTACAAAAAGTCAGCATCAAAGACTATTTTCCGGAGTTTGCAGGGGATCCCCACTGCTTAACGGATGTCCAAAAATTCCTGGTGGATTGTTTTCGTACGAAACGCCGGGACCAGCAGCAGAAGCCCCTCTACCACCACTTCACCACTGCTATTAACACAGAAAACATCCGGCTAGTTTTCCGCGATGTCAAGGATACCATCCTCCACGACAACCTCAAGCAGCTCATGTTACAGTGATGTGCAAAAAAAAGACAGTTTTATTTCAGTAACTTTGTGTGTTGGTTTGTTTTATTTTTTTTAACTAGAAGTTTACAGCAGGAGTAGAGAAATCCAAATCCTGTCAGACTTCTCGATATGTGGCTAAAAGCTGCTGCTGAACACATTATTGCCAATTTCTGCAGAAATTCAGGCTTAATCTCTTCCAGTGTAGCTTCAAGTTGACTAAAGTTGTAATTTTATAGCAGACCTATGTCTAAGTTACCTGTAAAGTGACAAATTTGACCTTTAAAAAATGTGTGTATTATCCTAGAAAATCCATTCCACCTTCAAAATCCCAAGTCCACACTTCAGTGAAATTGTTGCAATTGTTAGAATGTGGCAGTAATTTAAGGAGGGTGGGGAGAAACTTTTCTTGTCTAACTCCATTATGAAGACTGTGATACCATAGCTGACTTATGATTTCTCAGGTCTATTTTTTTTGGTTAGAAATCCCATAAATCCCTTGCTGGAATCATGTGTTTGAAGCTAGGATTCCTGCTTTAATGTACTTCCTGATTAATTACGAATCTTTGCGTGGGATTTGGCTAGGAAATGCTTTAAAAACGCATGGATTGGGAGCTTCAGAGATGCGTGGCAGGAAGTACGAGCACAGGCGGGAGCCTGGGGATGAGGATTTGGCATCGTACGTCCGATCAGAGCCATGGCAAAGCACAGCGCACTCCGATACAGTCCTCTTCCATCCGGATGTGGGAAGGGGCAGCAAGCTCGACTCGTATTTATCTTCACCGCCCAGATGTGACCTGTAGGTACCTTACCTGTTCTTGAAGCGCTTTAAAACAGCACTATTTTAGTTTTACTTTCTTCGTGACTCCTTCCAGCGTGCCTCATCTTAAGCAGGAAGCGTTTGGTGACGGATAGAAGTATTGCAAACCTAAGTGCCTCCTGATTTCTGTCCTCCTACCGTATTTTCAGTGGCCTTACGCCAGCACGTGCGTTCCCAGCAGAGGCCTTGTGGAGCTGACACCGTGAAGATGAATGTTTTCTTCGGAAAAAGGAACGTGTCGCAGCAGAACGGGCTTCAGCTGACGAGGTCCTTCCTCACACCTCCCAATTGGGTCTGGCAATCCGAAGTGTACTTGAGCCAAATACGTTGTGCAGCGTCCTCCCGCGCGCCGCTTCTGACTGAAGAGTATTTCACCAAAAGTTCCACTGCAGTTCTGGGTTTATTTTGTAGGGGGTGGGGGTTGCTACCATTGCCACGTGATTAAAAAAATAATAATAATAAAAATATTCATGCCCAAAACCCCTCCTGCACCACACAACGTACTGCAAAAAGAGAGTAAGCTTGTGAGCTTGGTTAAAAATCAATGGCACTACCAAGTGTAGTGTCACCTAGGCAGTTCAGCTTGCCCCAGCCCCGTGGCACGGTTCCTGTGGATCACGATGCTGGCCAATACTTTCTTAAATGAATTTTGATTACCATAGCACACGCGTGGCAAGCGGTGTGAATATCCTCACTGCTTGGAGCAGTGGCCCTCCTGGAGCATAGGAAAGCTGCCTGAACGTAGCCTTTTACTGTGAGCGTAAGTTGTGTTAACATCTCTGTACCTCGTTCTCCTGGCGGTAGAAGGGGAACGGTGTATTTTTATCTAGTTAGGTGCTTCGAAAGACCTCTATTTTTTTATATCATCCAATGAGTAATAGATTAGTCTGCGGTTTCTGTGTTAAGGCATTATTTTGGGAGGAAAGAATCAGAGTTTGGGAGAAGTCAATCTAAACAAAGTCTGGGTGCAACACTGATGTGAAGAGGATTAATACAACCTTTGCATGGGGGTATTTGGTGTAGGTTTTGCCTCCTTCATGGACACGGATATGATTACTGCTGGTTGAGCTGTAAATAACATCTGCCTTGCAGCCTCAAAGTCCGGTGTTTTAAAGCAGGAACCAGACAAATCCGTGCCCTTGTTAATCAACAAGAGGAGCAGCAGCTTTGGGGTTTTCCATTGCTGACAGTGGTCTGAACAAGTCTCCTTTTTTGCAAAGGGACTTATCTCTGCTTTGATTAAAATAATTAATTAGGAGAGGGTCTGTAGTATGTGTTTTGCAGGATATCAGGCTAGATGAATGCAGAAATGGCTGTAAAGACTGGATAGGGGATGATGTGAAGATGAGTAGGAATCCGTCTAACCAAATTAGTTCATGTAAAAATTGATGACTTTTGTTTCAAGGGACCTGTTAATTTGCTGAAGCTCCTTGTCAGGCCAAGGACACAGTGGGTATCACCAAGGCGCTGGGCACTGCTGATGTTACCTAAAGCAAGAAAAATACTCAGCAGGCTTCTCCCTTGAACCTACACACAAGATAATAATGTTTTAAT